TATTTGGGGTCTTTGACATTCTTAAAGCCCGAACCTTTACGGCTCACACATGTTAAATTTTAGCAGAGGATGGGCTTCAAGTGGGGCATTTTGATGCAGATCCTTTAATGGACTGTTAATTGTTAATTTGATCATGGTGGGTAGTGAGGTCTCGAAAAGGTTCTACTTTTTACAGAGAAGCCATGGTTTGATGCATGAAGCAGGTAGCATATCTGGTTAATTGGGGGACATTGGGATCTTTAAGTGGGTACCTTTGTGCCCATGTCTACTAAAATTTAGAAAAGAAGTGGGCTGAAACTAGTACTTTTTTATGCGTATTTGTACTTTTGTCATTTAGGGTTATAAAGGTTTCTTATGTAAAGATGCTACTTTGCTTTGATGTGGAAGAATGAAAAAAACGCCGCCATTTAATTTCTAGTGAGAATTTCAAGTTTCCTAATTTTGAAGCTTCTATAAGTTGGAAAATGTTATTCTTTCCTTTATGGATGAGGAAAAAAGGTTTAGTTTGTTGTCAAATAGATGAATGAGCAAACTTAAATGTCTTCTAGAATAGTCTTTTCATATGAATATTGCAAGTGGGGTTAATTGGTATTGCATATATCGGAGCATTTGTACACATGCATGTCTACTGTAAAGTTCAGGATGGAGAGTGTTAATGTGATGTATGTGAGTATTCAGTCAGTTAGGACATTAGACTTTCCTACAAAAATGTTTCATTTTGACATTGAGGACTTATAGATGTGATCACATAGAGTTTTCATTAATTTAGAAGATGTGAAAGATCCATTTCTGAAGCATGTATAAGCTATTAGAACACCACTTTGTTCTGTCATTGAGGAAATGAGTCGTACTTGTCATGGAAATGGTTACATGTACATACATACATTATTGCCCTTTTTTTAAAGGAAGCTAATTGCAAAGGAGAATATATAATCTGGCAAAGGTAAGTATGCGCTAATGGCCATGGCCTTTTATGGTAATTACTTTGTAGTCTTCAGACCAAATCAACTTACTGCTGAAGTGTTTAGGAGTCATTAGAGACAATTCATCCTGGCAGGAAAGAGACTAAGCTAGCTAAAGGGACCTTAATGTGATTTTACTAAGGACTCAAAATTACTAGAATGGCTATATTCTAATTATACCATCTCCAATTTCAAGTGCCTTTCAAGAGTATATGGTACACTCTACAGTTTTAGCTACTTGCTCCATGACCATGGGTTGGATTAATGTTTCCGTAGAAGGTAAAATTGCTGACTTGCATGTATACGGTCCTTTTTTTGTTGCTAGGTCTCCATCTTTGAATGAGATATCGATCCAACACATGCTATATTTTTGTTTATCTAAGTGAATTTATTTACAACCTTTGTAATGTAATGTGACTTTAGAACAGCTAGTGTCATGAAATAGTCAACTACTTGTGTGGATATTTAGACAAAGATGCATTATACAGGAAAACACAGTTATGAAAGGATGTGAGGCTGTCCTTGGAGTTGAGTGATGAAATTTATATGCTTGATCATCCTCCCCGCTCATGGGCATTGGCATGGAATGCTCTACTATATGCATTCAGATAAGAGAGCTGTTATTTACTTATTGCATATATTATGGTCTTTATCCATTGTGCTTATGGATCACAGAAGAATTCATACGTAGGATTATGGTGGTTTCATTGTAAGATGGTGTAAGCTATTTTAGAAAATTTGCTAAGCTGATGTTTTCCCTTCAAGACGATTTTTTGTTGTACATATACAACAATTGTGAATAGGTCCGTGTTTTTTATGTCAAAGGGGTCTGGTATATTAGCGTCTTTATCTTGCCCCTAAATACTCAGTCCTTTGCCCTTCAATAAACAGGAAAGAGATCTAGAACATCTTCCTCCATTGTGATCCAAGTTATATAACATGTATATTTTTGTTATGAAGGCATGTTATATTGTTATGTTTGACACATGGCCATCATGCATGTCATCATGTGTATCTTGTGTCCTTCTCAGAAGTCGTGTGTCAGTGGATTGTGTCCATTTTGTTGTATCTGTATCTTTGCAACAGTCCAAGAGAGAACTTCGCAACCCTAGGGCTATCATGATCCCAACAACCATCACTGTTATCTGCACAAGGGTATCAGCTTCAGAGCTTCAAGTTGTCATTCAGACATTGAAAGTATATCTACGCAAGTGGTTGTTGATTGGAGCAAGCCATCTATTTCAGATGAAAAGGTTGAAGAGTAACCATTAAACCCCAAAAGAATATTTGTGAGTTTCCTTCAGCATTATGTGACCTTAAGGGGTTGATCATATTATCGTAAGGGGAAAAAATGATGCTTGATCTATGATTATGAAATTTTTAGCTACTTATTTTCAGCTAGGTTTTTACATTATACCACTGAGAGCATCATGTTGAAAGATACCTCTTGAGATTTTTTTCACTTCAAAGCTCAAGTACAATTTTTTAAAAAAAAGGGGAGAACATTGAAGGCAATGAATGAGGAGGTACTTGGGACTTGCAGCCAACAATGGGTTAACATGGAGAAATCTCAAGATGCATTAAATATGTTAAATGGGTGTTAGTTTAGAGCTTTGTTACCTGGGTACTTCTATTGGAAGTCATACCAGACGTGTAGTCATACCCCCACTGAAACTTCTTGGACACTTATGGAATTTTTGCTTATGTTTATTCAGCTGTATAGTCAATCATAAAATACATGTTTTTAATTTAAAACACTTTTCATATACTTATTGGACGTATATTCTACACTTCACATCTATTTCTTATATATTGATCTTATGTAAATTACTAATTTAAATACATATAAATATACATAATTTATATGTGTATACCCGTGTCCCCATACCCTACCTTTTGCAAATTTGCTGTGTCTCGTACCAGTACCCATGCCCATGCAACTTAGGGTTAGAGTCTTCTGCGTACTGTGGGAAGAGATGCACTCTCTTTTTATTTCATATTGTTAACTATTAGCTAGAAATTTGTAAGGATTTAAGGTAATATTTACGGGTTTATTTCATAATTTTCTATGATGCTGTTATGAAACTATAGCACTTAGGCCTATTCTGCCTGAATTTTATCATTTTATGTTGTGTGTCTGCTGGAAAGTCTGACAACTGTTGTAGATATCATATCAGTTTGACATGTTTAGTTTATCAATGTGATTTGTGAAACCTTGTGTAACTTCATATCCTTGAAATAGATGGATGCTCTCCTCAATTTCTTTTGATGTATAATCCAGAAGGTTGAGTCACATAGGTCCTTGCTGCACTCCTTATTCTGTCATCAACAGTTCTTATCTATAAGCTAGCTGCCTAGCTCTGATGCATGAAACTCAAGTTAACTTCCATGATTTTCGTATTCTTGCCTTGTCTATTTTATGCAGAATCTTTTTAAGTTCATTGAACGGATTAAACTATAGGGTACAAACTATAAAGCTGGAAGCTTTTAAATTTTTTATATTGTATATCCAAATTTTATTACTCCGAATATTGTTTTTTTTAATAAGTCTGATTCTTTGTTTAATCTGAAGTTCCCACCGTATAGATTTATTATTTAACATGTTACATAATGTACCACATGCCAATTAATTTGGCTGCCAAAGTTTCAAGTTCACATTCTTGATCTGTAGTTCTAAATTTTGCTGTTGCATACCATATGGTTCATGCATCACCAACAGCATACTTTTATTGGACATGAGTTGTATCTTTAGAACCTCCACTAGCGTTTTCTTGGATTTTTGATTCTGTTGCATATTTAATTTGGCAGGAAACGTCTATTCAGTATGATCAATGACCTGCCAACTGTTTATGAGGTGGTATCCGATAGGAAGCAGGGAAGAGATAAATCAGGGATGGATGGTGGAAGTAAATCCAAATTGTCAGCTAAGGTTAGATAAATACTTTAAAGGTCTTAACCATTTATTTCTTGGTTTTTCTTCTTTATGATTTTTGCCATATTTCCCTTATTCAGAGATCAAGTGATGGTCAGATAAAGAACAACTCGAAGCCAGTTGATGAGGCTTATCCCGAGGACGAAGATGAACACAGTGAAACTCTCTGCGGAACTTGTGGGGGAAACTACAATGCAAATGAGTTCTGGATTGGGTGTGATATTTGCGAGAGGTGGTACCACGGAAAGTGTGTGAAGATAACTCCAGCCAAAGCTGAGAGCATTAAGCACTACAAATGCCCAAGTTGCGCGAAGAAGAATCGGCAGTAAACACGAGTTACAGAACGGTTTGCCGCATGTTTCTTTTTTACGTTGAACCAGTGTAAGTTATATATTTTTTTCCTTCAACAGTTGCATAAGGTTAGGTGGTGGAAGTTGTACGCGACATTTTGGTAGTGTGAGAAACTGATAGTTTCCGCAATTTGTATCATTTCTCGAAATGGATTTTCACCTTTTGAATACTTGATTGTCTAGAGTTCATTCCTTTTGAGTTGATGCTGCCTAATGCTTTGCTTAGATGTATAATCTGAGCAACAGATTGTTGCTAGTAATTTTAGTGGCGAAGGAACCATTACAAACATGGAAAGAAAACAGCAGCTTGGTGTATAATTTGGATATGATTGTTGCCTATTTTTTATGGCAATGTAATAAAAAAAGTCCTTGAAAATTTGCTGAGTTTATTACTGGTTAACAGAGGTTCTGGAATGAAGAAGGTTGACTAAAAAAACCAAAAAGTCGGAGGGTAAGTTATTCGCACTTTGAGCGAGTTGAGAGGTGATAATTGCTCATAGAAGTATGTATATGAGAGGTACCTGTGATTTATATAAAAGTTGCTCTTTTCTTTTAATATTTAATAAATAATATACCTTTTTATATGTCATTATTTGAGCTTACGTTATTTCACCTTAAAACCTTGATAGAGATGGGGCAGTTTTTTTGCCAAGAAGTGAAGCGAAGAAAAGCTACAGAATAGAGATTTGACTAGATTTTCATTATATGACGAGCAAAGTTCAACGATATAGGCTATAGCAAAGGTAACAAAAAGAATGTCACGATGGAGGTATTTCATTTATTTCAACAGTTGAAAAATGATTACACAGTGACACCAAAGTCCCAAATAATTTTACGAAATCTCCCCAGCAGAAAAAAAAAATTTGTCAAAGCCGCCAAAGAAAACTCACATGACCCTACAAAATCCGAATGCAACTCAAGGCGATTCCAAGTTCAAATGCCTGCATTTTAGTGAACATCAGATGAACGCATCACTGGTCCTATCCAAATATGAGAACCTCCATGGATGTTTTATATAGGATAGTAATCAATGCAATGTAAAAGCTACAGTATTGTTTAGGCCTTTATTATTCGAAATCCTCCCATCTTTCAAATCTTTATATATATAAACCATAGATTCACTCAGACTTTGCTCTTGCATCGCCGTTAAGCTGAGGATCAGTTTGATAGTACACAACATCTCCAGCATCACTCACAAAGTGGTCGACTCTGAGGCTCCTCGCAAGAATTCCAAGTAAGTGGAACGGAAGAGGCCCTGATTTCTCTGGTTCTCTGTAGTATTTTCCAAGTACAGGTTTTGCTGCTTTTGTCTGGGGGAAGAAAATAAAAATTTTCGTCGTAAATCATTTAACTAAACAAAGATATATCAAGATAACGAAGAAGAGAGAAACAGAAACAAGAGCACCCACCGCTTCTACGAGATTGTAGTGTGGTATTTGAGGGAAGAGGTGATGTATGACATGAGTCTCGATGTTGTGGTGTATCTTATTTATCCAACCGTAGTCTCTATCGACCGTCGTCAATGCTCCCCTGAGGTAATTCCATTCCTTCAAAATGCAAAATAAACATTTTAGCGGCTGTTAAGAAATATTCCAATTACTACTCTTAACAGTATGTTCGTCAAATGTGGTTGTATGAGAACTTATAGAGGAGGTGCTCTTTCAAGGGAAATATTTGCAATATTTTTCCTTAAGCGCCACGAGTAATTTCTCGGTCTCATCAAATACTCGGTAGGCAAGAACATAGATTATCTTTTCTCAAAGAGATTTTCTGTTGAGTATCACACATGCATCCAAGAAAATTGTACTAAAGCATGCATGCAACCATTGTTTCCGCGATGTATGTACCAAGTACTATTTAGTACCTTTCCTCGATACCAAGGGAGCTTCTCATGATGACCATGGTGATGCAAATAAGTCACCGCATCCAACCACATAATAAAGATCTACATCCAAAACTCCATGTTAAAACGCGATATATAAAGTATGATAACCGCAAATTGAAGCTTTTCCAGTAAATACTTACAGCGTAAGGAACACCATAGATCTTAAATACACTCATAGGACCTGCAATGTGTGAGCACACCAAAAGCAAAGCCAGCATTGCCATCCAACAAATTGTAGATACAGTTACATCCCCTTTCTCATGTGGAAGGAACAGATCACTGTCTGGATGAAAATGTGAGCCTTTTTTACCAGGGCTTCGAAACAACTGTCGATAACAGAAACAACAAGAGTCGAGATGTCATGAAGATCGTAAGGAGCATTTATCGTTCAGTTACGCAGTACATATTAGCGTGTCACGTTTAGGGTTTGTATGGTTCGTTGCAACTGTAATTGTAGTTCGAGTATTATTTGCTTATAACTGCAGTTGTTGGATGCAGTTGTGTTGTTATTGCAATCTACAACTGCGGTTTTAGTGTCAAATGCTTCTTTTGGGTTAATATTTGGACTTCTGATAGGAGTTGATGGCGACTTAAGTCTATTTTGCTGCTCCACATTTTGCAATTGCTGCGTCTTATACCCAAATGTGCGTGAATTGCAACTGCTGTTGCAACTATACTTACAAGGCACAAAACAAACAGCTGCAACTGATCCAAATGCCCCAGTTACGTGCACTTGCAGTTGGAGATGTGCAATTGCAGCGAACCAAACAACCCCTTTAAGGTCAAAACTAGAGTTATACATTGATGGCATCGATCATATGCAAAAGAGATGCGATGCACGGAAAAAAAAATATCGAAGATTACGTAGTGAATTTTCACTCACTCACCAAGTAGACTGGGTAGGCAAACAAGGGAAATGGAACAGTGAATCTCATCTTCCAAGTGACGTAATCCAGCGCTTTGTATGTCTTCTCTGTTAACTGTAAAGAAACCAAAAGTAAAGGCCAATTTCCTAATCTTATATAAGCACATAAAGTCATAATTCTTGAGCATTTACATTCATGAAATAAACTTTACAGGATTTAATCACATAAACAGTGGTTTCAGTTACATCCATGTAAAAAGTTCCAAAATCTTGCCCTTATGAGTTTTAACAGTTTTTTTTTTCCGTATGATTGAAGTACATTACCTATTGAAATGAGTAATTCAATGAGTAAATGTCAAAATTTTCACAAAAAAATATTCCCTTCTAAAGCATAGAAAGCAAAAGAGTGGATTTTACTTACTGGATGCCAGGACTCATCATTATCCACATGCCCATGGTTATTGTGATGTCTCTTGTGGCTGATCCTCCTGCACGCACGCAAATCAATCCACAACCAAACCACTCAAAATAAAACCTCAAAAAATTAAAAATTAAGATTGAAAAAAAATGAGGGAATATGACGAAGTTTACCATCCATGATAAGGAACAAGAATGAGAGAGTGAAGAAAATGGCCAACCAAACTGTTCAACCATCCGTAGTTCGAGAAACTCCCATGCCCACTACCAAATTTATCAATAGAAAAAATTAATGTATATGTATAAATCATACCATTAGAAAAAAAAATTCTAAATATTCCAGTGCAAAAATTTGACAAAATTAACTACCATGAACTATTACAACTTTTCCCAAAACTATCATACATTTTCAAATCGGCAAAAGAACACATCGACCATATACAATCAGTTTTATGATAATTTTGAATCTTGATGGTAATATATATAGCATTTAGTTCATGACTAGTCTTCTATTGATCTGAAAGTTCATAATATTATTTCAACAAACAAAAATCCATACACACACACACAGACACAAACGCATACGTACCAGTCATGACCCAGGACGAACAGCGCCCAGAACATGGTCCCCTGAACCA